AAGTTTTATCCTATGCATCTAGTTTATCGTGATCTGAATTAAGCATATATTTTTTGGCCTTGTGGAGGAGAAGGTATCACTCAAGCTTGGGGGAGCCTTAAGTACATGATGTACAGATGCCCCAATCATGAGCTCTCAATAGAAATTATCATACAGAATTGTTATGAGCGGTTTTCTCATAATGATAAAACATGCTCGATTTTTTTGAGTTCAAATGGGGTCCTCTGGAGAGAATTGAGCGCAATTCTGAAGATTGGGATCTCGACAAAGGTAAAGAGTCGGGTATAAATCTTGAGTTCGATTGTGTTAAATATTTTATGGAAACCGATGCTTTTCATAAGTTTAGTGCTAAATATGGACTTGACTTTGAGATAGTAGCTACATTTTGTGAATCTTTTGCTACTCATGTTGATCTCCCTAAGGAGAAGTGGTTTAAATATCATCCCGCTATTAAAGAAAATATAGAGGAACCCACTATATAGTAAAAATATGAAACTATCATTTACATTGTTGATCCAGTTGTGCCTACTGCTTACATTGAGAAACCTCCTTTTACGGTTAGGATTAAGGAACATGCTACAGCTACAGTTGTGGTTAATAAAAGTAATATTAGAACACCTAGACTCTCTGAACAAATTAAGGTTGAACATAATATTGCAATGGTTAAAGATCTCTTGGTTGATAATGTTAATGGGCATGCTATTTATTTTTGCGATGATGCTGCAAGAATTGCTAAATCCAATAGAAATGAACGCGATAAGCTAGATAAGAATAAACTCATAGTGGGCATGCCTGTTGTTTTCGTTAAAATTTGAGAGCATTGCTATCATGGTTTTTGTGACATGGGTGATAGTGTTAGTGCTATTCCGTTTACTCTATATCAAGAAGTTATGGATGATATTGCACTTGTTGAGATAGAAGATACTTATGTCACTATTATGCTAGCAAATAGAGATACTATTGCACTGCTTGGGATTGTTCGAGATGTTGAAGTCTTGTGTGGTAAGATCAAATACCCTATTGACTTCTTATTATTTGGTTCACAACAAGATAATTTTTGTCCCATTATATTTGGTAGACCTTTCTTCAATATCGTTAATGCTGAAATTGATTGTGTTAAAGAAAAGTTTAGAGTTAAATTTGATGGTGTATCTCATGATTTCAATTTCTCTAAGTTTAATAGACAACCAGATGAAAAAGAATTGTCTAATAAATATGAAAATATTGGTCTTGCTTCTATTGTTGTTCCTCCTACCGATCCTTTAGAACAATATTTGCTAGACCATGAAAATGATATTCATATGAATGAAAAAATGATATAGATAAGATATTCTTTGATCAAGCACCTATCCTTAAACATAACTTGCCTGTTGAAACTCTTGGGGACCCACTTCCACCAAAGAGTGATCCCGTGTCTGAATTGAAGCAATTACCTAACACATTGGAATATGCTTATCTTGATGAAAAGAAGATATATCTTGTTATTATTAGTGTTAACCTTTCAGAGCATGAAGAAAAGAGATTACTAAAAACTTTGAAGAAGCATCGTGCTACTATTGGATATACTCTTCATGATCTTAAGGGATTAGTCCCACTCTATATCAGCACAAGATTAATATGGAGCCCGATGCTAAGCCATTTGTTGAGCATCAACAATGGTTGAATCCTAAGATGAAGGATGTGGTAAAAACTAAAATATTAAAGCTTCAGGAGGCAGGTAAAATATATGTCATAGCTGATAGTAGATAGGTAATTCTTGTTCATTGTGTCCCTAAGAAAGGAGGCTTTACCGTTGTTCCCGATGATAAAAATGAACTTATTCCACAAAGAATTGTAGCTGGTTATAGGATTGTAATTGATTTTGGGAAGTTAAATAAAGCTACTAGAACAGATCATTACCCCTTGCATTTTATTGATCAAATGTTATAAAGATTGTCTAAGCATACAAACTTCTGTTTTCTTGATGGATATTTTGGTTCCTCTCAAATACATGTGTCAAAGGAAGATCAACAGAGAACTATGTTTACTTGTCCTTTTGAACTTATGTTTATAGATGTATGCCTTTTGGAACTCTCTCTCTCTCTCTCTATCTATCTATCTATCTATCTATCTATCTATCTATCTCTCAAGCCTTCAATCACACAAGTCTAAAATAGAGATTCATCTCAGTTGGAGAATCAGTGAAATCACTGAATATCGTCGGGATCTCGTCCTGACACTCATTTAGACAAGCTATGTAATGTCTAAATACCCATAACCCACATATAAACGACCAATGGACTAGTAATTTAAATTTGTTGATGACATGTATAAATGACATGCGGACTACATGTACTAATAAACTACTAATGGGTAAACTCATAGTATATCTAAAGTTTAATTAAATTATATATATTGACATAATGGCATAAGGGAAACAACAAGTCTATGTAGAATCCGGTGTTTTTGGAAAAAGACACGACTATTTAGTCTCATAGGTCTAATGAACTAAAAATGATTAAAGAGATTCCCTTACAAATGTTGTGATATTTAAATTAAAAGATAAATTATTACAGTAACATTGAAAAAATTGCACAACTTTTTCTATAGTCGGTTTTTTAAGCTTATGCTCTGATTCCTCTCTATTTTTGCCATTGGTTCGATTTAGATTTTCGTGGAATCCCAGTGGGTACCAATGGGATTTTGGCCCGAGTCAATCTTAGCCATTCCAGAACTAGCTAAGCATATGAGTACACATATATTTCCACAACTTTTGACATATTTGCCATGGCCTAGGATAGGGAATTTTTTTCCTGCTCATCAAACAGTGTATCAATCGAATAAGTGCCTCTCTGATTCAAAGGATTTTCATAGGAATTTTGAAGAATTAGAATTCTTAGGATTTGTGCTACATTAATCTTTTTTTGTTGGATTGTATCTCATAAGATTTTTTTCCAAAGGAATCATTTGTCTTTCGAATTTTCATGACATCAAACTACGTTCTCGCAAAAAAATATGTTTATTTCTTGTTTCTGTGCACTTAGAATTCTATGAATCAAACTGGCCTAAACATTATTTTATCATGAAACTGAACATTATCATGACTGTGTAATTAGCGAGGTCCAACAGCGAAGACACGTTTCACGTGTTTTGTAGGTGCCCAAGAGCTGTTGACCTGTGGCAAGCCATGGCGCAAGTTTGGCGGATACCTGATGTTAAATCAATCCGCAATACAGGACCAGAGTGGCTCCTGAATCTCATCGTGGTGTGTGACGAGGGTGACCGCCTCAGAGTCCTCATGCTTATGTGGAGGTGCTGGCACATGCGCAACGAGATCCAACATGACAAGACACCGCCGCCCATGCAGGTGTCCCGACGGTTCCTTCAAAGCTACATCACCTCACTGTTGGGGACCCAACAATACCCGGCCGGGGACTGGGATAAGGGAAAGGTGGTCATCCAACTAGAGGGAGCGGAGCAGCCAATATCGCATGTGGACGTTGGCTGAAAGTCTCAGTGCAAGTGGAGCCCGCCTTCGTAAGGTTGGGCGAAGCTCAACGTGGATGGGTCATTCTCACACGAGGATGGAAGCACCGGTGCCGGCATGCTCTTGCGCGGGCACGACAGCACCATCATTTTCTCTGCATGCCGTTCGCTTCGGTCATGCTTGGACCCATTGCACGCCGAGTTGGCCGGCTGCACGAAGGGACTCGGCCTAGCTTTGCAGTGGACGGAGTTGCCGATTATCCTGGAGTGTGGCAGTATGCAGGCCGTGCAGATGATCAAGGCAAAAGGACCGGATCATTCCCAGCACGCGATGGTGGTCTCAGAAGTAAAGAGTCTAATGGGTATAAGGGAGTGTTGTGTTACTCACATCTCTAGAGAGCAAAATAATGTTAGTCATGTGTTAGCAAACTTCGGTCGAACGGACAACCGTACTGTTGTCTGGCTCCGCTCTAGACCTGCTAATGTCCATAGTCTGTGTAGGGATGAATTCGTGTGCTCTTGAGTAATACTCCCTCCGTTTTTTTAGTCTGCATATAAGATCTACTCAAAGTCAAACTTTGTAAAGTTTGACCAAGTTTATAGTGAAAAATATCAACATTTACGATACTAAAACTATATGGTACGAAAATTAATTTCACGATGCATCTAACAACGTTGATTTGATATTGTGGATCTTGATATTTTTTCATGTAAACCTAGTCAAAGTTAACAATGTTTGACTTTGACCAAATTTTATATGCAGACTAAAAAAACAGAGGGAGTACAATCTTTTATCCCCGCAAAAAAATTAGCCGTGTTGAAAATTCAAAAATGTGCATGGGTTAATTATTTTTGTGGCAACCAAGGATTTGGTAGACGTGGAACACCAACGACCGCGCTCCTTTATCTAAAAAATAGTCCACCTCGTGTTCCACGCGAGAGTGACGCCAAGTAATATTAAAGTAAAGCTAATAATTTCAACAGTATATGATTTCGTAGAAAAAAACAGTATAGAAGATAAGCCGGGGCAACTGCCATGACGGTCTATTTAAACCAAGGTCGGATAGTAGCTGAGCACATAAAAAAATCGCGAACCAACCTCTGTTTGAGATGGTTAGGTGGACAGTGGTATCCCCAATCTATTAGGGTTCAAATCCTGGTGCTCGCATTTATTCTAAATTTATTTCAGGAATTCCGACGATGTTTTCAGTGGGAGAAGACGTTCCCGTCGATTACGAGGTACCTACGGTGATATGCCGGCTCACTTGTGTGTTCATAGGGATAAGTTTATGCGCATTTATATGAGCGCTTGCGTCTGTATTGTGTTCAAAAAAGTACAAAAAAATCCACCTCGCGCTCCACGCGAGAGTGACGCCATATTATTATAAGTAATAAAGTAATACTACTATCAACTTCAGCCATGGCACGGTCTATTTAAACCCCGCTCTCGCTCACATCAGATAGTACGGACATGCGATTAGGTCAAGGTGAGCAGAGAAAAAACAGCCAGTGATCGATCCGAGACACGAAAAACAATGGCCGCCCAGGCACCGGCGATCGAGGTTCCCACTGATGCCGAGCTGCTGCAGGCTCAGGCCGACCTGTGGCGCCACACCCTCTACTACCTCACCTCCATGGGGCTCCGCTGCGCCGTCAAGCTCGGCATCCCGACGGCCATGCACAAACTCGGCGGGGTCACCTCGCTGCCCGACCTGGCGGCCGCACTGTCCATCCCCGCAAGCAAGCACCCGTTCCTCGCCCGCCTGATGCGCGCGCTGGTCACCTCTGGCGTCTTCGCCGCCGGCGGCAGTGACGATTCCGGGGCGGAGCTCTTCCGCCTCAACCCCCTTTCCCGTGTCCTGGTGGACGACGTGGTCGCGGACGAGCACCACAGCCAGACGTCCTTCGTGCTCGCCGGGACGTCCCCGCACTACATGGAGGCCGCGCTGGGGATGGCCGACTGGTTCAAGAAGGACGTCGCCGGACCGGTGCCGTCCGTGTTCGAGGACGTGCATAGCGCGTCCCTTTTCGACGAGAGCTCCGCGGCCTTGGACCCGGAGCTCGACGCGCTGGTCACCGAAGGTCTCGAAGCCCACGACAACCTGGGGATCGGCACCATCATGCGTGAGTGCCATGACCTCTTTAAGGGGCTCGAGTCTCTGACAGACTGCTGTGGTGGAGACGGAAAGACGGCGAGGGCCATCGCCAAGGCCCACCCGCACGTCAAGTGCACCGTGCTGGATCTCCCCAAGGTTATCGAAAAAACTCCATCCGACTGCGTAGTAAACTATGTCGCCGGTGACCTCTTCCACACCGTCCCAAAGGCCCAGGCAGTGATGCTCAAGGTACGTACTTTCGTTGTTCCATGAATGTATTATAGTATGTGAATCGATGGAAAGGGCACATTAATTTTTCTTCTAGTAGTACTATAATTTATTTATTCTTCACCACTGCACTCAAACCAAATAAATCTAATCTTGTACTACGGTAGTGGAGTATAATTTCAGACTCAACTGAGGCTAACAAGGCTACATATATATATACTCTTTGTACGTAGCTTGTGCTGCACCACTGGAGTGACGACGATTGTGTGAAGATCCTAACCCAGTGTAAGAATGCCATTCCTTCCCGTCAAGAAGGAGGGAAGGTGATTGTCATTGACATTGTGGTCGAACCATCACTAGGACCTGTCATGTTTGAGGCCCAGACTCTCATGGACTTGCTCATGCTTGTCTTCACCAGAGGCTGTCAACGTAGCGAAAATGACTGGCGTGACCTCTTCATGAAAGCAGGCTTCACCGACTACAAAATTATCAAGAAACTCGGTGCACGAGGCGTCATCGAGGTCTACAAGTGAAGCCTTTCTCAAAAGTTTATCCAAAAGGCGTACTCCGTCTAAAGTACCCTTGCAGTGTGTTTTGTTTATGTACGGATGGTGTGCTCCAATGAAGAAAAATGAAGGGAGTTCCTTATGTTTGGAAGGATATTATCATGTAACAGCTTCAGTGACAAGCTTGTAATTTCTATCATCTTTAATTTGTATCGTTCCCTCTTTGAAGTATTAAATAATAAGTCTGTTTGTGGCTGTATATTGATATAATGACTGTGCTTCTTCTTTCTCGTGTACATGCTAATTATGCTTCCAAATACGAGAGCCGTTGACGGAATAAGTATGACCGGCATGAGCTCTTCACGAAAACAGGGTACAATATTGACTACGAAATTATCAGGTGGGACCATGAGATGTCTTCCAGGTCTATCAATGAATGGTTTCACAAAAGTTTATGATGTTTATCCAGAAACACGTACACTTAGAAACCTTTGAAGTTTTGCTTTGTTTATAAATGGATGATGTGATCTGATGAAGAAAATTAAATGGAGTGTCTTATACTCGCGAGGTTATCATCATTTAGTTTACAAGCTTGGATTTTTTTAGTATCTAAGCATAATTTCTTTCTAGAAGCATTATATAATTGGTGGGTTCGTGTATGTATTATTGTGTATGCTCTACCAGGACCTACATTGATGTTTGATATAAGAGCAAGTCCAATGGCCACATACTCTCGAAAGAGAAATATATTTTACCTTTTGTTCACAAAAAGATGAGAAGAGTATTGGGAAAAGGCTACTCATATCACAAAGATCCACGAAGTTCATTATGGCTACAGGTCCTTTCCCTTGTATTCATGAACCAGTAACATGGGAAGGCAATGATGTAACCAAAGAAAATGATTATAGTTGTATAGAGAGACACTATGGTGACAAATGTGTTTGTTTTCAAGTTTTAAATCTCATATGTAATGCTTTCGTTAATTGCACTGGTTGAGTTCCGTTACCTTTTCAGGTGCATTAGTACGTATGTGACATTTTAGTGATATTATCCTTCTTTTTGCGGAAAATTTCCATGGTCATATACTTACTAAAATTAGACTTTACAAAAATATGAAATTACATAAGTCCTCCAAGAAATTTGTGCAGTTTTTCTTTTGCATCCACCGGCGGTGCTCCGTGAGTGCCACGTCTCCAATGTATCTATAATTTATGAAGTATTCATGCCCTATTTACAATAATTTTATATGGTTTTGGTGCACTTTTATATGATTTTTGGGAACTAACCTATTGACCTAGTGCCCAATGCCAGTTTTTGCTTTTTGGCTATTTTTTGTTTCGCAGAAAATTCATTTACCAAACGAAGTCCAAACACGATAAAACATTTATGGTGTTTTCTATGGACAAGAAGAGACCCACGAAGCATCGGAGGAGGACCAGACGAAGTCCAGGGGAGTCACGAGCTCACCAGGCGCCCCCCACCCTAGGGCGCGCCATCTGAGCTCGTGGGTCCCACGGGACACCCCCTGACGTCAAACCAATGTCAAAAATTCTTATAAATAGGGAAAACCCTAGAAAAAACCTAAAACTGCCACGCCGCTACCGCAAACCTCTGTACCGAACCGATCTCATCTGGAGGACTTTTCGCACACCTTGCCGGAGGGAGAACTCATCATCGGAGGCCATCTTCATGATCCTAGCCGTCTCCATGACCAGGACGGAGTAGTTCACCCTCGGTGCTGAGGGTGTGTACAAGTAGCTATGCGTTTGATCTGTCTCTCTCTCTCTCATGATCTTGATAGAATGTGATCTTGATGTACCATGAGCTTTGTTAATATAGTCAGATCATATGGTATTCTTCCCTCTCTATCTTTGTTGTGATGAATTGAGTCTTGCCCTTTGAGGTTTCACTATATCGGATTGAATATTATGGATTTGATATCACTTGACGTATGTCTTGTATGTGGACCCATGGTGACAATGGGGTATTCTATTGAGTCACTTAATATATATTTTGGTAATCAACTTGCGGATTCCCGTGGTGACATTGGGCTTATCTAGGCACATAGGTTGATACACGTTTTCATTCTACTTTCTCTGATAGAAACTTTGGGGTACTCTTTGAACATCTTTGTGTTGGATAGAATATTATGAATCTGGAACTGTTTGATGCATATCGAATAATTGACTCATGGATGCTTGTGGTGACATTGGAGTATCTACATAACATTAGAGTTGATTGATGTGTATCATATGGTGTTATTTTAGTATGAATTCTAGGGTTGTTTGTGACACTTATAAGGACGACTCAATAGATTGATCGGAAGGATAACTTTGAGGTGGTTTGCTACCTACAATAATTTCATTTTATGTTCTCCTCGTCGCACATTGAGAGATTATTATATGATTCAATTATGTTGATAAATTGTACTAGTGAAAGCATGAACCCTAGGCCTTGTTTCCAAGCATTGCTATACCATTTTGCTCATTGTTTGCTACTTGTTACCTTGCTGCTTTTATTATTTCAGATTACAAAAATCTATATCTACTATCCATACTACACTTGTATCACCATCTCTTCTCCGAAGTAGTGCACCTATACAATTTACCATTGTATTGGGTGTGTTGGGGACACAAGAGATTGCTTGTATTCGATTGCAGGGTTGTTTGAGAGAGACCATCTTCATCCTACACCTACCATGGATTGATAAACCTTAGATCATCCACTTGAGGGAAATTTGTTGTTTTCCTACAAACTCTGTGCTTGGAGGCCCAACAGAGTCTACAAGAAGAAAAGTTGTGTAGTAGACATCAAGCTGTTTTTGGCACCCTTGCTGGGGAGGTGAGTGCTTGAAGGTATATCTTTAGATTTTGCAATTGAATCTTTAGTTTCTTGTTTTTCACTAGTTCGGTTTATAAAAGAAAACTACAAAAAAATGGAAATGAAGTTGTGCCAATTTGATTATCTTTATAAAGTCTTTCTTGAAAATGATGGATCGAAAAATTGTGCCAGTAATAGAAGAATAATTCAATAAAATGTTTGGCATACAATCCTTGAATAACAAGCATGATTGCAATGTTGTTAGTATGCTTTCTATGAATATCCATAATACTAATGATTATTGCACTAGTCATGATAAAAAGGTTTTTTATAAACATGTCAATTTTTGTGGAGTGCATAAAATTTGTGAAGACATGCCATTTAGGGATGATAGATTTTGTAAGAAGCATAAACATGAAAAAAAAACAATTGGTGGCTTGTGCTGCACCATTGGAGTGACGATGGGCCTCCACGTGACCGGTGCGCCGAGCCCAGGCAGGAGGGCCTTTGGTCCCGGTTGGTGGCACCAACCGGGACCAATAGGCATCCACGCGTCAACATTTCAGGGGTTGTGGTTTTTGTTTTTTTTTGAAAGGGGGGAGGGTTGGGGGTTTAATTTAGGTGTTTCATATATTGTGTTAGCTAGCTAATTAATAGAGAGAAGTGTCCTCTCTTATGTCCGTGCTTGGTCGACGCTATATATCCGTATATATAGAGAGGACTAGACACGCTAGCTAGTTAGCAAATGAAGGAAACAGAAGATCGTCATGAACATATGCATACAGAGAGAAGTGATATCGACCACCTCTCCTTCTCCGAGAGATTGGTCGAACAACAAGTTCTCGTATATCTATCCGACACTACCGGCTACACATATACAATAATTATCTCTTACAATATAATCTCCTAATTATATATGAACACAGGGTCCACATAGTATTCTCCATCTTCAGTGATCACGTGGTCAAGGAAGAATGCCGCCAATTCCTCTTGAATTGCTCGCATACGATCTGGTGGTAGGAGTTCATCATGCATCCGAAAGATCTAATTTGAACAAGGGGGTCAATACATATATGTATATGAATAAATGAAACTCAACACAAATGATGGTAATAAAATAAAATTGTGAATATTATTGCTTCATATTGTTCGTCAGAGTACCCCTGTTCACAGGTCGTGTGGCGGATGGACTCACAAACGTAGTATCCACAGAAATCATTCCCTTGTTCCTGCCACAACCACTTTACAAGAAATAGAGGTCAATCAAACTGATAAGCAAGCATGCCAAATGGTATTGATGAAACTAGCGCTTGAATCACTAGGAGATGTACGGAACATGTTACTATAGTACTTACTTTCGGGTGTCTAAATTGCAGCTTCTTTAGCAGTCCCGGAGCTTTTTTGGTGAATTTTCTCCAAACCCTGCCAGACAAAGAAAACAATTACTTGATATCAGGAAATGAACAAAGTTGCTGATATGGTGGATAATGATAAATTTAACTTACTTCTTGAGCATTTGAGTCATGTCCGCATAGTCCTGGGGATCTTTTCGTCTCGAGTCTAAGACGGTTACTAGTCCCTGCTCAAGCTTAATCTCTAGGAGAATATAGTGGAAGCTGCGGCTGTCTTCTTTCCTTGCTTATGAGGAGGAGGAGAAGGACTACGACGCGCCGGAGCGGAGGCGGGTCTCTTCCGCCCTTGCTGATGAGGCGGAGAAGGAGGAGGCTGGCTGCTCGGGCGCGCTGGCGCAGATGGAGAAGGAGGCGGAGTGCCGCGACGTGCCGGAGAAGGAGGCTGAGTGCCCTGATCACTCGCCGGAGGAGGAGGCGGAGGAGGCGGCGGAGTGCCCTGATCACTCGCCGGAGGAGGAGGAGGAGGCAGAGGCGTCCAGTTCAGAAGGTTGATGAGCTCCTTTCGCCATAGGCACGGAGTCAATAGACAAGAACCCAGCCGAGTCTCCCCTTCACCGGTAGGGTGGTCAAGCTAGAGGTCCTCAAATCCCTTCGTTATTTCGCCCACCGTCACCCTGGCATATCCTTCTGGAATTGGATGACGGTGAAAAGTTGGGTCAGGTTCAGGAGGTCGTATAGAGCCGACAGCCGCCTTGACTTTGAAGTTCTGTCATTGCATCATAAGGTGGCAATGTTGAGACTCCGTGATAGCATCCACGGGGTAGCTAGCAGGATCCGTCAAGACATGCTCCGGCT